GGAATAGGATAGTATAAACAGAGATCAAAGTAATACACTTTGAAGACAGAGGAAGAGGCCACAAGCCAACAGAACAGGTGATCACTAGATGCTGAAAACAAAACCAGCACTGACAGCAATGGACTTGAACCCTTTGGAATAAAATTTGAGCATTTACCTCTGTCTCTAGAACAACTAGAAAGTATTTTTTAAAATATTGTTTTAAGCCACCGAAATGGTGCTAATTTGGTGAAGCAACCACAGGAAATAAATTCAGGGCTCTCATCCTATGCTGAGGCAAGGGTACACACCTCACCTGTGTGTCCCAACATACAGACCTGAACATCAGTGGTGACACAAAGACTGTCTTTGTTTCACTTGAAAGAACAGGAAGTGATTTGGTAAAAGGTTATGGAGGTGGGGGCTGCCAGCCTGGGGCCAAGGTTCAGCTCTACCCCTAACTGGCTGTGTCTGAGAAAGTCTGCTTTTCCTCTTTGAGGCTTCAGGATTCCTTGCACGACGTGGGGGGGATCATAGACCTTACTGGGAAAAATCAAAGGAGAAAGTGAGTGGGCATTTGTTCCTCCGAGTATTTGGGAATGAATGGGCCTGTTGGCTGAGGAGGTGCCCTGCTCCCCATAACCCCTATAACTCCAACTCTTTGTTCACACTGCTAGCCATTATGGTATCCCTGACATTCTCCCTAAGGTTCCTTTGGCTTTTGGTTCATGTCTGAATTCTCATGGTCCTACCCTTCATCCTCTTATGCTCCTACAGCTTCAAATTACAATAACAAGCCAAGATGCTATCTCTCTTGTCTTCTAGACTCTTAGGATAGACATGCAGGAAGTGAGGGGGCCATAACGAAGGAAATACACTGGAGATGGAGTTTCAAAGAGAATCAGTTGCTGTCTCCCACCCCCCATGAGCTGTATGTTGAGCATAGGAGAATGCTGCTGAGGAAATGAGTGGAGAGTGGCACAAACTAGACTCCTGGGTTATGGGGAATGTACTGTGTATGTTTATCCTATTGATTGTTAAATAAAATACTGTTTGGCCAATAAGACAGCAAGTTAGGCGGGACTAAGAGTCAAAGAGGATTCTGGGAAATTTAGTAGAGAAGTGGTGATCCAGGCAGGAAGTGACATAGCAAGGAGACTCATATTTAAGTGAAGGAGAAACAGGAAAGGTCCTTTTTTCCCCTTGCTCCTCCAGCAGCGCAATGTGATCCACCGGCAAGGAGGGACGCCAATAAGGCGTCCGATAAGATAAGTCTTATAAAATATATAGGTTTATGATAATTAAGACTGAGCTAACAGATGAGAATCCCTGTCTTTCCCCAAGCAGCTTTGAACCTAATACAAGTTTCTGTGTATTCATTTGGGCCCTAACTTGGGTGGGCAGCTGGCGTAAAGCTCACACGTGGCAGTGGGGCTCGGCGGCATTTGGCGGAAAGATTTATCGTAACACCTGGGAATGGAAGAGGAGAGTTGGGAGGGAAAGAGAGTATGATGGGAGGATCAGCATACATTGTCTCACAGCAAACCTGGAACCTCTGAAGGGCAAGAGGTCATGGCTTTCCTTTGCATGTGTTCCATGACTTCCATTTTGGACTCATGGGCCATAGAGTGGAATAGATAGTTCAGAGACTTGTAGACAGGGGTGCCCACTGCCCCATTACTTTCTCTCTTGGATCTCTCCCCCAAGCAGGTTTCCCCACAGATGCTAAGCCTCAATTCCCTGGCTTGTAATTTTTATTAGGTCACAGTCTTGTTTGACACGTTGGTAAAAGGCACATGTGAAAGGCTAACTTATGGTACTCAGAGGTTGCAGACCCCACACATGTATGCTGTGACTGAAGCTATGCTCTACCCTAACCTGGCAGGCCATTTCCTTTTGGGTTGCTATTGTTCCTCTAGGAAGACCAAGCCAGAAAAGATGATCACCTGTGCTTACTGAACACCCACTTTGTGCTGGCAGGGAACAGTGGTTGGCTCTGTCCCTAAAGAACTTCTGGCCTGGTGGAAGTGGGAGAAAGCAAAGACAGGGAACACATGAAATGAGGTGAAGTTCAAGAGCCACAGGCTGGGGAACCAGAGAGGAGACAGATAAAGCTAGGATTCTGGGAAGGAAAGGATTGACCACTCTAGACCTAGAGAGAGAGCCATGAAAATACACTGTCAGCAAGCAGGACAACCTGTGTAAGTGCATGGATGACAGGGCATGAGTCAGAGTCATTGTGCAGTTTTGCTGAAATACAGCTTGTTAGACTAATGGGAGGACTGAAAAGGGTGGCTAGGAGAACAGAGACCTGCTAAAGCATTTTTGGTAGTGAAATGGAAGCTATAATTGTTTTAGGTCTGACATACCAGGTGTAGAGACTGGACGGGAAGAGGGATGGATCATCTTGCTGTCACAGCACACCTGAGTCAGGTGCAGATGGGCCAGGAAGAACTAGGTCAGCAGGCATAGAGAAGGGAAGAAGGGTTGAAATGGGTGATCTCCTCAATACACATACAGGGAGCTAACTGCCTTCCTTTGGCCCTGATTCTACAGAGAGAAAGTACCACACGGGAGAGGCAGAGGCTAAGCTCCATGCTCTAGACAGCCACTGTAGGCTGCCAGTTATCAGGAATGGTACAGGTAGGTACAGGACTTGGGCCTGGGATGAGAGCAGGTTATGTCTTGTAGTGGCTAAGGTGAGGATCTAGCTATACTCAATGATGTAGGGGAGACTACTTTAGTGGTTGAAACCATCTGCAGGGATTGTGGACACAGTGTCAGATCCATCCTCAGTCTCAGTTCAGCAAGTTTGGGGTGTGGCTTGAGGCTGAAATTTCCTGGCAGTTGTACTTCCTCCAAATTGGTGTAAGGGGTGAGTGGGTCTGAGTGAAGAATGCAAGGACAGAATAGTCAGCTGGGTACTTAAGGTCTGTCTGGGAGACTTCCCCAGTCTCTTCCTAGTTAACTCACCTCATCTTTCAGGTCTGAGGGGACACTGCTTCCATGCCTTTTTTTTTAGCTTCAGTTTTTACCTGCACCAAGTTTGCTCATAGGTCCATCTCCTGTCCATGATACTCTGGACTCTCCCCTTAAAAAAAGATTTATTTTAATATGTGTGAGGTTTTGTCTGTATGCATGTATGTATGTGCATCACATGCATACTGGGTGCCCATACTGGAAGTCAGAGTGGGCACTGGGACACCAGGAACTAGAGTTGCAAATATTTTGTGAACCTCCCTATGGGTACTGGAACCTGAACTGGGTCCCATGCAAGAATAATAAGTGCTCTTTACCACTGCCCCAGATTCGTAGCCTCAATATTCCCCCTTTTCAATTTTCAACAGTTTTATGTTATAGATTAGTTGTGTGGCCCTGCTACAATGTCCATGCTAGACAAGCAGGATCTATGCCTGCTGTACTCACTGCACAAGCTCAGAGCAGCACCCAGTGAAGATGTGTGGACTACACAAGTAAACAAAAGCCAGTTTGAGAGTCTTGGATATCTCCTACAGGGCTGTATGTTGAAGGTTTGGACTCCATCTCCTGGTGTGGCTTGGAAGTGGTAAATCCTTTAACAGGTATGGCCTAGCGGAAGGAAGTTAGGTCTTTGAGGTATATCCTTCAATGTGATAGGGCACCAACAGAGTGAGCCAACCACATCTCTTCCTTTCAAGTTGTCGATGTCAGGTATTTTGTCACAGTGACAGAAGGCTTACAAAATAGAAGGAAGAATGTATTGGACAATTGTGTTTGACAAGGAACATCTTTGGTCCAATAGCTGTTAACATTTTCGAAGGAGTTTTAAGGCATTTGGTTCTCAGGGTTTGTTAGCTAGATCTATTGCCTTGTTATCCAGCATTTCTGAGCAACTCCTAAGCTCTGTTCCCATCTAAGGTGCATCTTTCCTTTCTGTGATTAACTCTGATTCCTTTCTGAGTATGCCCATTAAATGTTCAGTTCTAACTCATTGTTATGCTACTTAATACTCTCTGGTCCCCCATGTAGGACAGTCAGGAAGAATTTTTTGATATCTTGTCTCCTACTGAGTAAATCCTTAATTGTACAAACTACCACAGGTTGTCCAGACCTACAGAATAAAGGTTATTTCCTGCCTCCCTCTTTAGCTTGACCAATGTCCTACTGCTTCCCAAACTAGCCTTCCCACTTGTGACCTGTACTGAAGTGAAGTTATACCAGTAAGTGCAAGATACAGTATTATTTCATATATGGTCAAGAAACACGACATGCTGCTGAAAGCTGTTGCCTGAGACTGATCTCTTTATTCTGAAATGGCAATTGGTTGGTCTCCATCAGTGACCATTTCTCCATCCTTCAAGTCCAGCGTCAATGCAGAATCTATGCCACTTCAGTTTGTTTTATATAAGTACACAAGTGCATCAATTTTTACCATAATTCAGGGGTTTATAAATATAACTCCATTATTGTAAGACTCACTGGCAAAGATGGCATCTTATATACATTTATGTCTGAATACCTTGTCAGCTCAGCATGGTCTCTCCCCAGACAGAGCTAATAAGTCAGCAATACAAACTGAATGACTTTTATACTTTTATTTTATTTTCTCCCAATTGCCTTCCTACCTTTGAACAATGATGAAGAAGAACTTAGAATTCTTCAGGAATACATTTTAATGAGTTCAGAGAACAGAAAACACTAGATTGTTAGATGGGCTGTACTCTTTGGAAGATGGCCTGATAATGTTGTTCTGTGAGGTGAGCTGCAAGGATGTCTGAAGCCCATTAAGCATCATCTCATTAAGGAGTTTCTACTCAAACATCAGGCAGAAGGCCAACCTCCAGCTTACTGCAAACCAGCCTAATATCCCATGTTATAAGGAGCTGACCAGTCAACACAGCACACAAAGTACAATATTAGCACTCACTGTATCACTACTGACAACTAAAGACCACCACTAGATTCTGTGGATGAAGGGAAATGTTTTATGGAAAAACAATGCAGGCAGACACTGCAACCATTTTTTAAAAGAGACGCTGAAAGTATGCAAGGCAGCAAGGAACCAGGAGTGGATTTATTCTTAGGGATTGGGGATTGGGGGGTACAGTCATCAACACTTCTAACAATTCTACTGTGATCACATGAAATGTATATCTGAAGTCGTATTCTGTGTTTATAATTTCTGTTTTGCTTCAACTTTTAAGAACTTGAAAAAATGTTGTGGTTTTCAGTTTAATGTTGGTATACTCAGAGTTGTCTTCATGATAACAATATGGGAGAGAGAAGTAGGGGTTAGGAGAGAGAAAGACCAAAGCAGTAGATTATGCACCTGCCTGCTTTAAGGCCAATGCTATCCTGGGAAAAATGCCTCCTGTTGTTGTCACCTCCTCATGGAGGGAGTCAGGCATGCTACCATCTAACCAGCAAGGGGCACATAGCTCAGAAGAAATGCAAGTAAGGATATTGGTTCATCAGAAGAGAGAAGAAAACTTATTGGTGAGGGCTTGGGGCACGTCACTTGCCCTTCCGCAGGTGGTGAAAACTCTGCACTGTCCTTTCCACGGCATCATCCATGGTGACCAGTGGCCGGTACCCGAAGAGCTTTTTTGCTTTCTCACAACTGTAGTAGTGGAACGTACCGGCCAGTGCCACACGCATTGGTGTAAAAGTTGGCTGAATTTGGATGAGAGGACTGACCACCATCACCAGTAGAGAGAACAGGAAAGCAAGGTAGTAGGCTACCCAGTAGGGGATGTGGTACTTGGGGGCCTCATAATTGAGGCCTGTCAGCATGCGGGACAGGAACGTCCAGAAAGGGATTGGCTCATCGTTGGTAATGTGAAATGCCTGGTAAAGGAACACGAAGTTAGACAGGCCTGCACAGCTGCTGGGGTGAACATGGGTCTTCAAGTTCTACTAGCTGATGGCTCCATTTACAGCTCTTGCTGTGGGAAAGCAGGGGCACACTGTCCTCCCTGCCTTATCTCTTTTGCAGGACCACTAAAAGGTGAGATGTTTGTTATGAGGCCTTACATGCCTAGCTGCTGTAGTGTATCACAGTCTGTCTTAGATTCTCAGAGTGGGCAGTGCATGAGGGCAGAGGGAAGGTGATACACATTCTACAAAGAGGCCAGGACTATAAGTGAAGTCTAGCTTGCACTTAGGAAGTTATTTTTGGTAATTATAGCCCATGGTAAAACTCTACAGCTTTATCTTTGCATGTAACAAATGGTCCCTATCAGATCTTTCAAACATGTTACAAGTGTGAAAATGGAAAAGGTTCACAGGGAGAAATAAGCATGAGTGCTTAGAAGGATTACAGAGTTAGCAGTGAGAAACAAAGAAGACAGGTGAGCCTGAGAAGTGGAAGGCAAGGTGGGGGCAACAGAGTAGGACCTCTCAACCCTGTTGATTTCTGAGTGACTCCATTTATATCACCTGCTAGAGGAGTGTCAGGCCTGAGCAATATGAGCCATGTGTGGGCGGTGAGGGAGAACAGAGATCTGAATATGAGGAGAAAAGCGAGAAGTAAGCATCTGACTAATGTACACGTGACCAGGCTTGGAGTGAGCACGGGAGCTCTACAGAACAAAGTCCTGAAGCTTGGCTCCTCGATTTTGGCAGTCCAAAGTAATCTGATGCTGCAATGACGTAGAACTTCCCAGTGGGTCCTAAACTGCTGGGAGAAGCAAGTGTCTTACCTTCCCACCCAGCGCTGCATCTTGGGATAGGTGCTCAGCTGCCAAGATATGTCCATGAACCACATTCTCCACAAAGGTGAAGTCCACTAGGTTCTTCCCATTTCTGTAGGTATACAAGAAGTATTTCAGTTGTGGTGAGTGTTTGGCTATCAGCCCCACAAAGCCCTAGCACTGAGACATTTGAGAGACTAACCTACTTTTATCCTAACAGTATCTGCCTCTGGTACACCTGAGTGATTGCAACAGGTAAGGAAACATGGCCATGCAGAACTACTGGGACTTTGGGGGGCAGTAGGATATTGAAGGACCAAGCAATGAATGTGAAACTGTGGTGTCCTGAATGCCCCCACATTATCAGCAGCAGTGTGTCTTGGGCTGTGATTTGGGATATAGACCTTGACCACTTTCCCAGGATACACCAGGCCAATGGTTTTCCAGTTTTCTCTCGCTGTCTCTGAAAGCCCTCAAAGTCTTAAGTCACAGCATCAATGAGATTTAATAATTAAAGGAAGACATGACAAGGGGATAAAGAAGAAAGAAATGTAAAAGGTGCTGGGCATAGTGGCTCATGCCTTGAATCCTAGCACTTGGGAGGCAGAGGCAGAGGCAGGGGGATCTCTGAGTTTCAGACCAGCCTGGTCTACAGAGTGAGTTCCATGGCAGGCAGAGCCACATCGTAAGACCCTGTCTTGAAAACAAAATTAAGAAAAGAAAGGGCATGTTTAGTAGCCAACCATGCCTGCTGTCATTCTCTACTTTTTAAACACATTAACTGCCTTGTATATGCAAGGAGTCAAGGGTCATTGCTTCTCTCCAGAGCTTCAGCTCCTTTTCTGGTTTTTCAAGATAAGGTTTCTCTGTATTGCTTTGGAACCTGTCCTGGCACTCACTCTGTAGACCAGGCTGGTCTTGAACTCACAGAGATACACCTACCTCTGCCTCTCGAGTGCGCGTTCCACCACCCACCCAGCTAGCTTCTTTAAATTCTAAGCAGGAACACACATCTTTTCCCAGTGTACCTGAAAGAGTGTACAGAACTGAATAGTATCCTTCCAAAACTTACATCACTCTGGAAATTGTGGAGTTGACCTTATGTTGAAATGGGGTCTCTGCAGATGAAATCACTTAAGGTCAGACTAGGGTAGAAGTCTTGGCTCAATAATTGATGTCTTAAAAAGAAAGGGAAACTTGGCCACAGACAGCACAGAAGATGGTCATGTGTAAAGGCCGAAGAGGTAGGAAATGCACTGGCATGCAAGGAGCAGTAAGGAGCCCACAGACGCCTGGAACACATTCTTCTCACAACAGCCAGAAGGAGCCAGTTCTGCCAATAGTTGCATTTCAGACTTCTGCCTTCCATAACCAAGAATCAAGTTTTGTTGTTGTAAGAACTATTTGTGGGAATTTGGGATGGCAGTTCCAGGAAATCAACATGGAGGACAATGGAGAATATCACATGTATGGTCTGAATGTTTGTGTTCCTTCTATATTCTTGGTAGAACTTAATTCCTAATGTGCTGGTGTTCTGAGGTGGAAATTTTGCAGGGCAATTAGACCATGAAGAGCTCTGCCCTCATGAATGGGATCAATGCCCTTAATAAAAGAAGCTTGAGGTCCTGCTCAAAGACACCTGAGGCCTGGGGACTGTGCATTGTGGATCCCATCCCAGTGGGATCCTGCCCACCTAGAGACTGCCAAGGCCCCGGTACCACTCCTGCCTCCATCCACGGGAAGAAGAGAGACATCAGAGAGGACCTGTTTGCACCCACCTAAAGGAAACCTTGGTCCCGTACCCACCAGGAGAGGAAAAGACCCCTTCTACACCCACTAGAAGAAGGGATGGGAAGAAGACAATATAAAAACACATTCAACAACAGAAAAACCAATATGACACCACCGGAGTCTAGGGACCATAAGACCTGAACATCACAATGCAGATGAAGCAGAAGAGAATGACCTTAAAAACATCTTCATGAAAATGATAGAGGCCCTCAAAGAGGATATGAGAAAATGCCTTAAAGAAATGGAAGAAAAAACAAACCAAAAAATACAAGATATCCACAAATCTCTCAAGGAAACAGTTCAAGACCTAAAAACTGAAATAGAGACAATAAAGAAAGCACAATCTGAGGGAATGCTGGAAATAGAAAAGCTGGGTAAATGATCAGGAACTACAGATGTGAGCATAATCAACAGAATACAAGAGATGGAAGAGAGAATCTCAGGAGTTGAAGATACACTAGGAGAAATAGACTCATCAACCAAAGATAATCTTAAATCCAACAAATCCCTAACACAAAATATCCAGGAAATATGGGATACTGTGAAAAGTCCAAACCTAAGAATAATAGGTATAGAAGAAGGTGAAGAAATCCAACTCAAAGGCACAGAAAACATATTCAACAAAATCATAGAAGACACTAAGAGACCACAGATGCCAGCCCTGACTACTATATCCAACAAAGCTTTCAATCAATACAGATGGAGAAAACAAGATATTCCATGACAA